CGATGATGCAGGCATGCATGTAGGGGGAAAAAAAACGTCTTTTTGTGAAACATCACAGAGCAGCAGAGTCAGATATAAATGTGAATCCACACAGGAAGCATGCGTGCAACTCGATATCAAGGAGTGCAGTCGAATTAATCACCGGCAGAGGGCACCAGAGAGGCGATGATGTCTATTTTTAGAAGTTGACAAAAGATTTCTAAAGGGGATTAGAGGCTTCCTGAGGTTGCTTTGCTGTGTTTTCAGAGAAAATGAAACCTCTTCTCTGACTGAGCATTAAAACTGAAACTGACACACGACCGTTGGAAGTGCTTTTAAAGAAAGAAATGTGAAAACATTGCTTTCTTTTTTTTTTTTTTTAATAAAACACTTCCTGTTATTGCCAATGCTAACGTCGATGATGAAAAAGCCCCACACACCAGCTGCTGCGGGATTTTCTGTTTATTTTGATGCCGTGTTTCCTGCCAGGCTCTGCCGTCCAACAGTACAGTATCTCACATCTCTGATTCTTTTTTTTTTTTTTTGCCTAAACCATTTTTGGCAGCACTAAACTTGACTCTTCAGTTGCTATGGACACAGAGGATGTTTTCTTTTTCCTTTTTTCCCTACCCCTCCCCCTCCCCACCGTGTCCATGACAACAAAAAAGGCTGCTATACAGGAAATGATATGCATTACAAAGATACATAATGTAATTATGCAGTGTTGGGTGGAGTTTTGAGTTGTTAAATCCTGATTTAAGCCGAAGGAAAAAAGTCCATGTGTAAACAGTGCACAAAACTGTTGAGCATCAAATATGAAAGAAACGACAGATAAATAAACCCCGGAAATATTTGTTATTTGTCTTCTGCACATGGTGACGTTTATTGGACGTAAAAAACAAACAAATGAATATGTAGGGTATGATGCTTCTATAGCCACGAGCACAACACACCTCAATATGGGCTGGTGCCGTACACCTTCCACAAGGTTATGAATTTGTCCCTTTATTTGACCATTAACCTTAAATTAAAAAATATAGTTAATTATTTATTTTTAACAATTTCATTATCAGTATTATTATTATTTTATTTATTTGTTATTGTCAGTTGCCTCGTGCTTGGACCGTGATTAACATTTATTTCATTATTGCAATAACACATTAACACGCTTTGATTTTGCTAAAGAAAATCCTAAAAATTGATGTATGTCTGCATGTCATTTTCAGTATCAACATATAATATAAACTACATATATATATATAGTATATATATATCAGATCTTTCTTTTTTAACTGATCTATTAAAGGGCCTGTTTCATACACTGACCACTAGATGGCGACGGCGTAAAGTAGACCGTCAGCGTCATGACAGTGTGTGGCCACCAGGCTCATTATTAGCACATGATGAGGCTGCACTTCTCCAGAGAAGCAAATACAGCAAGAAGATGAATGTTGAACAGAGAGGAGGAGGAGGAGGAGGAGGAAGAAAATACAGAGCAAGAAATCCAACGCAGGTGGACGCTCACCTGTGGTCGTCCAGACACACACACTCACACACACACACACACACGCAGCTCTGCAGCTCACCATCAACAGCTTCTTTCTGCAGTGTAAAATTGTCCAGAACATTTGGAGAGAGAAAAGAATTCCTTAAAAAATTAGGAACAAAAATAAAAATAATCAACGTTCATTTTAATGAGTTTTAATAGAAGTGTCGGCGCTGATACCGCCCTCTGTCTGCAGTTTTCTGCATTGTGTTGTTTCTCAGCGGATGCTGAGCTGCTGTTACACTGGGGCATCATTGAAGTGTCATTGAGGTCAAACCAAAAGAATAACTTCTTATTTGGAGAAAATTTCTTTAGCACCTCCTGCAGAACGCTTCGCAAATAAAAGAAATAGCCAAAAAAAGTTAGCTCGTTTATCTGTAGAAGGTTTCACTGAAAAGCTAAAAACTGTTGGAAACTGTCAATAAATGTTGGATGGATGGGATCAAAGGCTCAGACCTCAAAGCATCTACAGAAGCCAATAGTTACCAGAAAAACGAACTGATTGACGACTAAAGGTTAGCCTAGGATTAGCATCAGCTGCAGCTAATGGTTAGCCACAAACAAGTGTTACACAGCTAAGAGAGAGCATTAGATTTAATGTAGCTCAAAATGAAGCCCCTAAATAGAAATTGCACAGAGGTTAAAAACTCTGCAGTTTTGCTTGGTAACACATTGTGCTGCAGTAAAAAAAAAAAGGGGAAGAGGAGGGAAAAGAAGGAGGAGGAGGAAGAGGAGGAGGAGGAGGAGAGAAGAGCTGATGGTGGAGGGTATTAAAGATCACAACCTCAAATATCAACTCTGCACACTGTTGCCAAGTCTTGTTGCTATGGAGATTGCATCCCCACATACTGCAGGTGAGCGGAGAAAGACGGCAGCGGAGAAAGTCGACTGTGTTTCCCCGTCGTTGTCTCTTCCTGCCTGTGTCTTACACAACCACATGCTTTCACACATGAGTGTCAGCTTCTCTCTCTCTCTGTGTGTGTGTGTGTGTGTGTGTGTGTGTGTTCCCCTCTAACATATTAAAGAGTGAATCCTCCGCTCTTTCCAACATCCAGTGGTGTCTCCTCGTTCGTCCCATTGTCTTCATTCCATCGGTGTCTCCACCGTGTGTCTCTGAGAGGACAGCTCTTGACCTCCTGCGTGTGAATGTAGCCGCGCGTCCACAAACGCCGGAGATCTCCAGGGAACGGTGACGGTGGAAATGGTTTACGTCAGCGTTATCGTAAGAAATGTCACAAGTGTGAAACACCGTCGAATCCTGAGCTCGGGAGATTTTTTTATAGATTTCTATGAATAGAAAGAAGCAAATCAAAATGTTGGAGAATTTTTATTTTAGATAAGTAGAAGCTAAAAAAGAAAGCAGGTGAAGAGAACTGCAGCTAAAGGTTAGCCAAGAGGACACATGAGCGCCACGGCCTAGTCTTTCTGACAAAAGATTTTGTCATTTCAACTTTTGTCGTTTATGTTGTATATTTCTGTCTAAAAGTAACAGTGTTTTTCTGTCTCTTTTTTTTTGTTGCTATTTTAGTTAACGTTTCACAGAGGGCATAATCTCGCCAACGCTAACCTTGGTTGTTTTTTGTGGGGCTTTTTTTTGTTGATGACATGGATATAATTGGTGTAGGAAGGCAGAGGTGAGACGGAGGCAGATGATCCACCTGAAGGTAACAAAAGAAGAAGAAGAAGAAGAAGGAGAAGAAGAAGAAGAAGAAGAAGGAGAAGAAAAAGAAGAGGAAGAAGAAGAAGGAGAAGAAGAAGAAGAAGGAGAAGAAAAAGAAGAGGAAGAAGAAGAAGGAGAAGAAGAAGAAGGAGAAGAAGAAAAAAAAGAAGAAGAAAAAGAAGAAGAAGAAGAAAAAGGTGAAGAAGAAAAAAAGAAGAAAAAAAAGAAGAAGAAAAAGAAGAAGAAGAAGGAAAAAGAAGAAGAAGAAGAAGAAGAACAACAACAACAACAACAATAACAACAACAACAACAACAACAACAACAAGAACAACAACAACAACAACAACAACAACC